CATGGTCTATGGTGGGGAGACGATGGTGAAGACCAAGAGGATTTGCCATTGTTATGGAGAGAATTTCTCCAGAAAGTCCACAGTAATAGAGGCAGCGCTGTCAAGGTTTACAGCAAAGGGCAGGAGGCCTGTAAAAGAATTTCGAAACTGTTGGGGTGCAACGTGAAAGACCTCGGTGATGTAACGACCATCGGGAGCGTTCGAGGAATATCGCACGAAGAGAAAGTGTTCTACCTTGCCGGAGCGGCGGACTGTGTGATCGAGTGAATCAAGGTTAATTGTACAAAGGAACTCAATTATTGAAATCATTTTTCTTTTAATTATAGGACAAGGGTTGTTGGTGATACAGATTACTTCCAAGACAATCGGTGAGACTGACCTTGTGTATGAGTAAGTAATAATTAAATTGTTGCAAAAGTTATCTTGCATTTCAGATCTGTTTTGATTGTTTATGTGTTTTGACTATTTTGTAAATGATAATAATATATAAATTCAATTATAATATATGTCTTGTGCAGAGCTAAGAAGGTTTCCAGCCATGGGACCGATACAGGGATGGATCTGTAGTGCTGGAGGGAAATGACATCCAGCAGCCATGTTTTGTGCCAATAGAAAAAAGATAATTGTGACACTGAATAATAATTGGTTTATGGTAAAAACAATTCGTAACAACTGACTTTTGTGAGCACTTTAATGCTTTCGAGATATGTAGGCCTGCAAATTCAGTTTCTGTATTAATGGMACAGGCAGGTTTCAGAGCATACCTTCTAGCCCATGTTGCTAAACCTTTGGGATCTGTTAATGGCAGATGTTATGTTGCCTCAAGGTACACTGTACCACTGAATTAAAAAAAATGAACATTGTGCATGGTCTACATAACACCTCACCATGTAATTTTTTATTATTATTCTAAGCATATAGAGCAGAGTCACTTAAACCATGAAATAGAAATTAAACACTTAGTAACCAATTTTAGAMACTATTGTTAAGGGACAGAAATTTCAACAATTTTTTATATCTTTTTTTAAATGCTTTATTGCGGAATGATTCAATAATTATTATTAAAGGTTTGCACATGTATKTTGTACGATATACAAGCCCGCGTTATTTTCAAAGGCAAGATACAACAGGTTGGTCATATGATTGTCTCATTAGCATTTACACCTAAATTGTGTAAACTTGTGTTGAGTTATGGCGTGTACGACTCTTAACCCCGCGGTGTTTATTAAGTTAATCGCAAGTTTAAATATTGGTCTAAGTCGTATAAACCGATGTACCTGTTGACATTTTGACAACCATGTGTTGCCTTTTATATCATACTTTTTTTGAAACCGACTTTTGTAAAAGTCTCCCCGGAATATTCTATTGATTTTCTTATCGTTAATTATGAGGCAACACCTCTACAATATTCTCAGTTAATATCAGATAATTTTGACATTTTTGACATAATGCAATTATAAGACAAATCCCTATAAAAGCGGATGCAAAATGTAATTTCGTCCTAGTTCTAGTTTTCCAGAGTTTTTGTTTTGTTTTTAGTTTTTGGATGAAATAGATGAAATTGAATATACCAGTATTTTGAGAAGATAAGGAACAATTTTCACCCAATGAAGTTATTATCAATCAGAGAATATCATCCTTAAGGATTCATGTAGAACGTTTCATAGTAGAATAAAAAAAATTAATATTTTTGATAGGCCATTACCACTCAGCATGCATGGATCTGCTAATCAAATATTTACTACATGTGCATTTTAGTTATGTTTAAAAATCCAATAATATCTGTTATTATTATTATGTTTGCAAAT